GTCCTCCCTTTAGACCCCCGCAAATCTCTCTCGCGACACCCCCCAAAAACCGCTGCCCCCCCTCCCGGACCCCGCGGTCCCTCCGGCCGGGCCCCGCTCACCTGCGGCCCGAGCGGAGCCGAACGCGGCCGAACGGAACCGAACGGTGCCGAACTCGGCCGAACTGGGACGAACGAAGCCGAACCGGAGCCGAACGGAGCCGAATGGAACCGAACTGGGACGAACGGAGCCGAGCGGAGCCGGCCCGGCCCGAAGGTTTCCGAACGTCCCCGAAGGTCCCCGAGCGGAGCCGAACCGGTGCCGAAGGTGACCGAAGATGCCCGAGCGGGGTCGACGGGGGCGCGCGGAGACACGAGGAGGGGCCGGGGGACCCCCCTCATTAGGACCCCAGAGACCCCCGCAGAACCCCCCATACACCCCCTATAGACACCCAGACCCCCCCAGAGACCCCCAATAGACCCCTCCCATAGGTCTCGTCCCATGGGGGGTGTCGAGACACACGTGAAGGGGGATTTGGGGGCTTCCTCCCTCCGGAGGTCCCGGGATTCATCTGAGGGAATGTTTGGGGTGGGGGTCTCTCTTTTCTCAGGGGGTCTCTGAACTATGCCAGGGGGGTACAAAGGCCTCCTTGCAGCGTTCCCTGGTGGTCTAGTGGTTAGGATTCGGCGCTCTCACCGCCGCGGCCCGGGTTCGATTCCCGGTCAGGGAAAAATGAAGCTTTTTTTTTTTTTTTTTTTTTTTTTTTCCCATTTTTTCCTCCTTCTTGTTTCCATTTTTCCCTCTTCCTCTTTCCCCACTCGCCAAACTCCTTTACTGTAATAATTAATAAATTTTTAAAAATAAGTATGATACAGAATATATGTAATATACGTGATGTACTATATAATGTCTATCTCGCATTGGCCTCATTAGCCACCAGCGCGCCTGTAGCAAATGTGGATAGAGCCTTTCCCAAATCTTCGTTCGCGAAGCCCAGCCACGATGATGATGGTATAATGTATAATATATAACATAAAAATACATTAAAAATATATGATATACTATAATAATAAGGAAATATTTATAGTGTTTGTAATATTGCTAAAGGATTTGTAATATATTATTATTTATAATAAAAACATTTAAACACATTAAAACATAAAAGTACATTAAAAAGCCATAAAAATACATAAAACTTCAATAAAGCCTCCACAAAAAAATACATTAATGTACTCTAAAACCCATAAAAAATATAAAAATACATAAAAGCCCATAAAAACATAGAAAAAACGGGTAGGAGGTCAAAAGCCAGTGCTGTCTGTCGCGACACAGGCGGAGGCACCGCTGGGATTCGAACCCAGGATCTCCTGTTTACTAGACAGGCGCTTTAACCAACTAAGCCACGGCGCCGGCGCTGCCCTAACGCAGATCAGAGACCATCAGACCCCCCATAACCCCTCCCCTCCCCTTCCCCCCCC